TATATATAATTAAAAAATTAAATTCTTATTTTCTCCAGGATCAAGTTTTTGGTTCTGTTGCAAATTAAGGAAACATAAGTGAAAAATATCATCAAAGATATTGTTATACTGTTGCATATAAACAGTCAGGATCATTATCAAACATCATCAAAATCTCAAGGCTTACATTAATTCAAAGAAAGGACAATGTGCCAAGCAATTGCGAGTGAGTTAATCATCCAACAAGATAGTTCAATGATGTGCCAAACATATACAACAACAACATCAACAAAGCCTTAATCCCACAACGTGGGGTCGGCTACACGAATCCTTTTTCTGCATTGCGTCTTATTTAGTGTCATATTTTCATCTAGTTCTACTAAATTAAGATCATTTTTTATACAATATGCCTGAGTCTTCCTATGTCAACCTCTGCCTTTCTTAACACAAGTCGAAACTAAAGATCTACTCTCATAATCGGGTCATCTTATGGTCGACATTTAATGTGACCAAAGCATCTAAGACGACTTTCTCTAATTTTGCGCGTCACAGGAGCTACACCAACCCTATCATGGATATATTCATTTTGCATTTTGTCTTTAAGTGTAAAGCCACTCATCCACCTAATCATTATCATCTCGACAACACTTAACTTATTATTATGCTTCTCTTTTAAAGGCCAACATTCAGCGCCATAGAGCATTGCAGGTCTTACCATCGTCTTATAAAATTTTCCTTTCAGTCTAAGCGGTACTTTTCTATCACACAAAAGGCCCGAAGCATTCCTCCACTTCAACTAACCAACTTGAATTCTACTATTAACATCCCCATCTATATCACCATCGCTTTGAACAACGGACCCAAGATATCTAAATCGTTCACATCTTTTAATAATTTGATCACCCAAAGTCTCACTTCTGTCACTAGAGCTACTACAACTAAAATTACATTCTATGTATTCACACAAATCTTTCAATGAAATATTTTGAAATTCTGATTACTTTTGTCAAAATGTCAATATAAAAAGCTATAAAGAAACACCATTCTCTACATGAAACGAGATATGCAAATAGTGGAGAATTATGTCTAAATTCATAAAGCTAGCAACAATCATTGATGTTTACTTGTGATTGTTGTAGATAAATATTTTCATAATGCTATTATTGTCCAAGTAATATCTCAAAGCTGTTGTTACTTAACCAAAGTTAGTTGTCATTCAATAATCTTTGCTATAATATTAGAAGAACAAACAATCATTCTATTACACTTGGGGAAAATTATTCTTTTGATTGGATCGGGTTCCATGACATCATTTTTTTTTGAATTTTTTTAATATAAAAATAATGTTATTTTTAGCATATATTTATAAGTTTGTTGAATATTTTTTGTTGAATTAATACTTTATTTTCTTATGTTAAGAATAATCTATCATGAATATACCATATCATTTTCAAACCCAATATAGAGGTGTTAAATCAGGTTCACAGGTTTTGGGGTGTTAAATCAGGTTCGCAGGTTTTGTTCGGGAGTGACTCGAAATTGATCTGACTCGAAATTGTTTGACTTGAATTGACTATAATACAGGTCAGAAGTCCAACTCGAACCCGACCTGATGATTTGAACATGACCATGAAACTTGTACACAAGATATTAGCTATTGAGGTGGATTTCAATTTAAACTTAAGTTGTATTTGAGTCAGCCTCTAGTCAACTTCAGGTTGGCATATTGATTTTGAGTCAATTTTGATTAGCCAGTTGATTTTGGATTTAATTTGAAGGGTCCGAACAGGACCCCAACCAAAAAAAAAGTGTTATTAATCTGAATTCATGCCAAAAAATCATCTGCCAATCCGAATTTAAATTTTTGAGTCAAATGCGAATAGAGTTGAACTATTGAATCAAATTTTGACACCCTGTTCCGAGCTCGGTAAGCGCCACTACAAGTAGCACATTTTCTCCGGCTCTTCTAATTCAACGGTTGTGATAGACTGGATTTGCTCGACCGAACCCGAGAGGGAGCGAGGGAAACCATCTGCGGCGATGATATAAATTCCCATGGCCTTCGTCTCCCTAGGTTCAGCAAGGCTGTTAGCTTTCCAGCAAATTGATTCGCATTCCCTCTGCTTCTTCTCAACCCCAAGAATTTTCTTCTTTACTTCGAGGAGAAAACTAGGGTTTCGCTTTTGCGGCGTTCGTTGCGGTTCCGGGAGCGGGGCCATGGCCGCGGAGCCTCGACCGGCGGTGAAGGTTCGGATTGATCTCACAATGAACGAGGAGACGATCTTCCGACGTTTGCTCGACGTGATAGACCATTTTAAGCTGAATACGCAACTCCGGGTCGCTGGGGGCTGGGTACGAGACAAGGTTAGGCTTCTAGTTTCACTCTGCACTTTCATATTATTTTCTTGCCTCTAGTTTTCCTTCTGATGCTGGTTTAGTCAAATTGGTGAGCCGGACTGTTTGAAATCTATTTCAATGGTAAGTTTGGAAAGCTTCTTCAGAAGGCGGTAGGTTTGTACTGGTTGGAACTTGGAATGCTTAAAAAAGTTAGTGAGCGGGGAAATGATATATTTTAAATCATGAACTATTTACAACAACGTAATATGCCATTCCTAAGATTAGCATATGAGAACTACCGTATAAGTTAGAAGATGGCCTGAGAATTTGATGGCCTATGGTGTAGCCAAACTAATAGTGCTTCTTCCTTAGTGAAATGATAAATTTACCCATTGAATTTATCACTTATCTGATTGATTTCTGCTTTGGGAGACATGATTAAAGGAAGTTTTTGCTGATGTAGAACCATGAAAATTATTGGTGTTCTCCATGAAGATGATCTTGACTAGGAACATATCTTTTCTTGACGCATAATGCATTATGAAAATATTGTAATGACTAAACCAATGTTTTTAAATGCACACTTCGAAGCATGCTTTATGAGCAATGCGAAGCGAAGTGCATGACACTCGTTTCGTTGAAGTGAACTTCGAAGCACTAAAGTTGATTTGCAGGGTTTTTTGCTTTGCAATTTTTAAGTTTTTAATTATTGCAACTATTATAAATTATTAAAAATTTTAATTGTAGGTTCACCCTTAATGTTTTTCTTCTAAGTCTTCAAGTCAGAAATGGTACCATATTCTTTTCTATTTTATATCAACTCTTAAGTCATATTTTATATTTTATAATTGGTAATGAATGTATTTATACATGAATAATTTTAAATATCATATTAGCATTTTGGTTAAAAGCACTATTTCACTCTGCACTTTGTGCTTTGAAGCAAAAATAAAATCTTGCACATCACATTGCGCTTTGCACTTTGATAACACTGGCACATAATTGATTTTTTTTTTTTTTCATTGGGTGGGGGGAGAAGGTTTCCTTGTGCTTTTGTGAATGTTTACTCTTTTGTATATCATATAAATTACATTTTGATATCTATGTTGGATATTTCTAGCCATTGATAAACATTATGGTATGAAACTTTATCCATTCTTTAGTATATTTTATTTTTTATTTTCTTGAGATCAAAGTATTTCCTTTTAATGAAGAGGAGATCGAGAAATCTTTAGAATCTCATGCAAATTCTCAATCACTCTACAAATAGACCTTTGTTTACCTTTTTTTGCCACAACTAAATGCACTAAGGCCTCACCTCGTTGTCATATAGAGTTGGGAGAGGCTATTTTTATGCTTGAGAAAGACAAATTTAGATCTATTTTTGGGGATCATTGCACATCCTCAGGAACGATGACAAACTAAGGCTAAATCAACTATGACGCTGTCTTCAATTTTGTTGATACTTGCCCCACAAATTAAAGCTTCCTTTTTTATGTTTTAATGAAGCTGGATGGTCCAATGCTTTGTCTCCATATCCTAACATTGCAGTTTACTAAACTTATTCTCAAGCGAGGGAATTTGACTTGGGCTCCTTCCCACCTAATTCATTATATTCATTTAATTTTATTATCATCACTAGCCTTATATCAACTCTTTTGGCACATCATCATTAATCCTTATTTTTCATTCATTTATGTTGGTGCTATATGTTGTTGAATCAATTCTCCACAAATCATTTTGTTGAACAAATTCTATCGCTGTAAATTTAGTTTTACCCCTTTTCCTTCTTTTTGCTCATACACTAATTTTATTAGCTTGTCTAGCGGTCACATTTTGTACTTTTCATCTTCAATGGACTTGAGCCCATTTTGTTGGGCTTGCTTGAGTCGAGATTCATTTCGTTGCGGCCAAAAATTCAAAAACTTTGGGTTGTGGGAATTCGAGATTTGTCATTAAACTGGTGATGGTCATGTCTACAGAAAACATGCTTTGATAGTTCAGTTGTGTTGCATCTATTTTCTGAGTATAGACTATAATTCCCTTATAACTATAAGTTCTGCGTTTTGACATGAACTCAAACAGAACACCATAAATAAATATAATAAATTTTCAAAAAGTTAGAAGTCTAAAATATTACATAAAAAGTTATGCATCACTTAACATTGATTAACATCAAAATTAAATTTATAATAGTAACAAGTAATGTTATCATAATATTATTTTTAATGTCCAAACAATCAAATCTATCAGAAAATTTTCTTTCCAAAGCCGCCTCGATATATGGTCATCGTCTAAAGTGAACATTTTTTAAGTTGCCGACCCCTAAATAAGTTACAATCATCTATTAATTTGTTTCTAGGATACCTATAAAATTTTCTCTCACAGTTTGCTTCTCATTGTGATGTAAATATGCAACATTGCAAAACACAGTTGCAATACACAACTTTAGAGGCAATAGAAGTCTTTGAACTCTTATTTCTTGATAATTCATAGTTTAATATAATTACAAAAAAAGTAAAAAAAAAATCAAAATAACAATGATATAACCAGAAAGTTAGAAAAGAAAAGAGCTCAGAGTCAATATAAATTTTAATAATATGTCATTATATGAAGATAGATGATATAGAAAGTATGGGATCTTGGTTGCCTTTAAGCACTTACTACCAAACTTATATGTCAGAAAGCTTGGTATCATAAAGAACATCTAGAAGAATCCCTAAGTTTATATGACTCAGAAAGAATGAGATTTTGGTTGCCATGAAACAGTAAATACCAAACTCGTAGATATCAGAAAATATACTAGTGTAAAGATCATCCAGAAGAACCCGAAATGTCACATGACTCATCATAGATCTAAAAAAAATATATTAAAGCAACTCATTGTCAAGCAATGCAAAATAATATTTTATATTTTGTTCAGTTCCACAAAATTACAACTTTCATAAATCATTGAATTACATAAAAACAGAATTAATCTCTCAAGCAAAATAGAATACTTAAGATGTCCTACAGACATAGTTATATCACAAAAATCATTCATTGATGTTTCACTAATCAACTAAAATATTCATAATTTCTTCCCTTAGCTGAACCATAATATTATCACCTTCCCCGTCTTGAGTTGGATGATTCTTGACATCTTTAATGACCATCATTGAGTGAATAATCCTGTATTCATAAGCCTCGGGTGAAATATGTATGTGATATATTTCTAAACTATTAAATTCAATGTTATACTTTGAAGGATGACTTTGTATATTATTATATAATGCTATTTTTGCTAGAATGATTTAATTTTTTTGTTGAATGAATACGTAGACATGTCTCTTAAAATAACCTATTTTTTCTTCGAAACACAAAAAACTTTCTCAATAACATCATGTAACGAAGAGTATTGCTTGTTAAACATCTATGTTTTACCACAAAGATCTTGACTATTTCTTTCAAAATCGGGGATGCAATATTTTTTTTAAGGATATGACTTCAAGAAGCCCAGTTGCATTGGGTAGTCGACATCCACAAAATGGTACTTCCCTATTGAGTTAAACAATATCTACATTTAAATGTATTTCTAAAGAGATATATATTAAATGTGCAATTATAGAGTACTTAAAGGTAGTATAGTAAAATTATATTGATGGGAGCTTGTTGTAAATTTGAATATGCAACTGTCATGCGCACTTCCTTTCCATCTGACCATGACAAACATAAAACACATGTTAAAATCATAAACCGTTTTGTTGTTCTGTATTGGTGAACCACATCATCTGTTATAAGTCACGTTTTCATCTTTAGGAATACAAACATCTACATGTATTTTATCAATTACCTCAATATAATCTTATACCACAAATTATTTTCTCAAGCACATTCAAGCTGCTCATTTACTTATATAATTTCATGTATATGAGTTTATCTTGAATTAGGACACATAATGATAATCAGGACACATAATAATAATCATGTGATATCTTGATAGGTATACTCTAAAAAGTAGTGTCGATGGGCTTCGTATTAGTAGATGTCAAGTAGCAAGAGCGTCTAAGTCGATGTTGAAATATTACTAATTGTTTCAGAAGAATATTGAAAAAGCTTACATGTTACCTTTATTGATTCATTGTGTGATAATATATAAAATATTATCCATACCATTGTTCTTGAAGAGCTTTGAAGACCATGATAAATCTGCAAATCTTGAAAGATTAATAAAGACTGCTTGCAACATACGAAACAATTATAGATCTCCTCATATTTCCTGCAAGCAATTTTCCGATTCATTTTTCTTCATTATATGTTGTTGTCATTGAAGGAGTTATAAATGTATGTTTCACAGTACTCATTAATTAAACATTTAATAGTGAGCATAGCCTTCTTGCAGAGCTCTTGTTTGTTGCAAGCTATAATTGTAGCAACACAAGTAAAAACTCATCAATCAATACTTGCAGGAACAACATCAATTTAAAAATATAGATTAAAAAGCAAACAATGCGGAGGAGTTTCTACAGACTACAAAGAAATACATAAAAAAATACATATGTCTAACCTAAGTAAATACGGATGCCAATTAATCACAAACCACTCAAAATTTCTAACCCTTAACCCATTACAAAGACTCAATGTTGAGGGCTTTCATATAAAAATTATGGTAATGAATCCTTTATTCAACTTTATTTGACATGAGCATTTCTTTTTTAGTATAGTTCTAGAGTACAAGTATAGTAACACATCATAAACTTCAGGGATCATTTCACGCGTTTTTATGACAGTAGAAGATGCTCAATTGATGAACTTGACCTAGAAGACATATTTGAACATGTTGTAACTAGCTGAGATATCTGATCCTTTTGAAAGGATGCTCTGCTAGTCTTCTTTCTCCCTAGGACAGGTTTAACAGAATGTTGGCACTTTGTATGACTGGATCGATTGTTCTTATTGGAGGTCTGGTATGAACTTTTCTCAGGGTATTTGAACTTTCGCTTTGTTCAAATACTCCATAGGTACCTAAATCAATAGGGGCTACCTGA